CATGCCGGACCTTCCCGCCCTCGCCTGCCCCGGGTGCTGGTTCCGGGGTCCCAGCATGTGGCTGGTGAGACCAGGCCTGCGCGTTCCGGCCTGCCTCCTCGCCGGGCCGAGAAGTGTTCCCCATGACGAGCCCAGTCTCCTGCCTGCACTGTGCTGGCTCCCTGAGTGAATATGTCATAAAATAAAAATTCTGTATGACTTTTGAATTTTTAATATAATTTTTAATAGGTTATACATTTACATGGATCGAAAAAGACAAGGACAAGTCTTGTTCAAGTCTCCGCTCCCCATTGTCCCTTCCTCTCAAGTTCTTGTCCTGGTCCTCGGAAGGCAAGGCTGCCAGCCTCCTCCGGCCTCCTCCGGCCTCCCCCGCATCCTGGCTGCTGAGTGCAGGCAGTGGCAGCTCGGCGGCCTGCAATCCCAGTTTTCCCTCTGGTAAAAGCCAGCGTGGTACATGCTTCCGGCCCGTGCTCTTCTCACGAGCCAGAACACCGCTGTGGCCTTGCGTGTCGGTGTCACCACGGGGAGATGAGGCAGCTGCGTGATGTCCGGGTACGGCCGTGGTAAAGTGAACTTCGTGGCTTCCTGTCGATGTGCTTTTCGGTTAACGTTTTTCATTTCATGTACATGTCATTATTTCTTGCATGAATTTTTCACATGAAACACAAGATTTCTAAGACATGTCCTACTTTTGGCAGTTCCACCCTTCTTTGCTATTGGCGATATTTTCTGGAGAATTTTGAGATGCACTCCCGGAAATGTTACTGAGGCCTCGTGGCCCCGTGGCAGGAAATGCTTTGCTTTCTGAAATAGCTTTGCAGTAAAGCGAGGGTGACGACAGTGTTCGCCTGTCACCTTGTCTTCTGAGGGGACACGAGGAACACGCAGATCTGGGGGCAGGTGATCACTGTCCCAGGCGGACCCTCCCTGAGGCACCAGGATCACAGGTGCCTCGCTGGGTCGTCAGGGTCCCATGTGGGGGCGTATCAGTCAAGACAGAGACGTTGCTATTCGCATCAGCAGCAGGTAGCTTCTCATCATTTTTTCCAGATTATTCTCATTTTTTAAAACATCCAATCACTGTATGTCATTTCGCTTGTAAAGAGACTTCACCCAACGTGAGATCCTTCGGACCAGCCCAGCGGGGAGCACTGTACACGTCGTCATCCGCGGGTAGTCGGCCTGTCTGTGTCCACCAGCCTCCTGCCTCTTCCTGTCCTCCTGCGTACCCTTCCCTTCTCCCGCCCGGCCCACACTGTCCCCAGCCTCCACGCCTGTTTCCACTGTAGTATTTCGATCCCTGTCATGAAGTGCGGGTAGTCGGTATACACAGGATGCATCGGCTCTTTCCTTCCTGTCCTGGCTGGCTTCGCTCAGCAACCGGTCCTCCGAACGTTTCCAGCACAGGCCCCCAAGCCGCTGTTCTACATACGCTCACGCTGAACCTCCCTCGTCTCTCCGACCATTCCTCGGATAACCTGATCGTAAGACCCGCCCCGAGCATCTTCGTTCCTGAGCCAGCTTTGGTGACAATATTCGCCTGGAGATGGACACAGGTCCTGCTGGGACCCAGGGTATCGCTGCAGGACGGTCTCCGCTCACGGCAGCTCCGACCGCCTGGAGCTCTCCTCCTCGCTGTCTCCATTGGGTTTTGGGGAGGAGAGAGCAGGTTGAATTCTCCCCACGCACCTCTTCAGAGTTTTTACTGATGAGCTCTTTGCTCCTAAGCCAGGCAGCACTCACCTTAGACGGGACGGTTCGATTTTCCTGACAACTGTGCGACATGAGGTCCAGACTCGCAAATTCCGTTTTGGCGAGTTCCCCTTCGCGTTTCAGCTCCCCCCGTCCTTTTCAGAGGTCGACTCTCCTGTGTCTTGGTCACGCTGCCTGGCCTGCGTCATCTGCGGACTTGGCATCAGTGTGTCCCTCTCTCCTGTGTCTTGGTCACCCTGCCTGGCCTGTGTCACCTGTGGACTTGGTATCAGTGTGTCCCTCTCCTGAGTCTTGGTCACCCTGCCTGGCCTGTGTCATCTGTGGACTTGGCATCAATGTCCTCTTAGGTCTTTACACAGGCCATCGGTAAAACGTTGGTGAAGACATGTCAGGGACAGACCCCGATGGCATTACAAGAGCTATGCCCCGAAAAATGGCCCGAGACCCGCTCACCGGTGTCCACACGAGGCCGGCACGGCTCCCGTGGTAGGGGCTGCCACAGACCCTTGTCTTTGATACCTATTGACAAGGTTTCGTCAGATGGGCTGAACTCACCGTGTGTTACGATGAATTGCTTCGCTCTGATCTGCCGATCACAACACCGTCTCAGAAAAGGCTAATTTGGGCCCTGCCGACTCTGCTTTATGTTGTACGTGCACACAGCCGTCAGCTTAACCCTGTGTTCTTCCATCGTCCCAGAGGATCGTGGCGGCTCGTTGCTTTCCACGAACACCGGAACACGTGTTTGGGGCTGAGGCGGGAGCAGGAGGGGCCTCTCCCTGTCTCCTCCTGTCCCTGTCCTTGTGCAGAGACCAGGCTTAGAGCAGTGCTCTCAGAGGGCTGGCCGCCGAACTCTGACTGGAAATTTAGTAATCTGGATTCTAAATATTAGATATTTCACCTTTATTTTCTTTTTTTCTTTTGAAGGTGTTTGGGTGATCGCACTTGCTAGAGAGAGAGAGACAATGGGGGGAAGTGAGAAATCACCTCCCGGGGTGGGGTGGCCATGGCAGAGACCTTCCCCCCCATTCTCCTGGGACTTCGGGCACGCCCATGCACCTGGCACAGTTTTCGAGCTGCTGGGTCAGGACTCAGTGGGCCCTGTGGGAGTCCAGCACTCTGACCACCACACCACCTGCTGCCCCGTGTACTTCTCCAGCTAGAGGCTTAGGCTGTCTTATTATTGAGAGCAACTCCTTTCTCTCTCTCTATTTGCTACTTGTCCTTATCAAGTGTTTTGGTCACATTTGACTTAGTTTTCCTAGCAATTATAACACATGTACTCACAATTCATTTATGTCAAACATACATTTCTAAAATTTGCTATAGGGCATGTATGCTCGCTGGAGAGAGAGATAGAGGGAAAGTGAGAGAGCACCTTCCAGGGGGATAGCCATGCTGCAATGCCTTTTCCTCTATTCTCCTCTGGGGGTTTTTGGGCACCCACACATGTGTGTCCAGCATGTTTTGTAAGCCACCTGGTTGGGGACTCGAACAGTGGAATGACCAAGTGGAATCCAGCTGCCCTAACCACCTGCCTCTGGCCCAGTTTGTGTCGTATTAAGTCATAAACGTAAGGCATTGAGCACAGCTGGCGTAAACTGGCTAGCGAGTGACCATGATGACTTGGGCGAGCACACGTCGAACTCGTGGTAGGAGGACAGGAGGTCACGGGCAGCCAGAGAGCGCCTGTCAGCCACTGGTGTTCTTTACGACAAGGGCAGCACTCGGCACCTGTTAGAAAGGGCAGAGAATGATAGCCGATTTATGGTTAAAGGACCTCTAATTAGCAGATTTCCTATTATAAATACATTTGTCATTAATATGCATGGGGGTAAGTGTTAGAGAACATTTTGCAAGGCGTTTTCTAGTACAGGCCCTGTAGGACCTGCCCGAATGAACAGCCACACTCACCATAGTCAGCAGTCTGTCTCCACGCCGAACCGTGGTCTGAAGTGCTTTCCCGGCAGTCTGCGTATAGCGTGCTGCTCTCGGGCTGCTCATCAGGCTGCTTTTTCTTAGATGGAAGAGAGAATGTTTTGGTCCAGTCCTCGCCGAATTACCGTAGTTTTTAAATTACTGATTTGGAGACTTAATGAGCTCTTCTTCCATTTGTGCATGCTAGAGATCTTAAATATCTCTGTAAATGTTTAAATTTTTTTCTAAATATTGGTAGCATGAGTTATGATATGCCAAGAATAGCTTAAGAAAGAAACTAGTCATCCTACTGACATTAAGTTGATAGATTTTGAAAATGTTATAAGCAAGAGGCAGAGAGTGTGTGTGTGTGTGTGTGTATGTGTGCACACGTGTGTACATTTATACAGAGAGACATAGAAAGAGGCAGAGAGTGTGTGTGTGTGTGTGTGCACGCGTGTGTACATTTATACAAACAGAGAGACATAGAAAGAGGCAGAGTGTGTGTGTGTGTGTGCACATGTGTGTGTGTGCACATGTGTGTGTACATTTATACAGAGAGACATAGAAAGAGGCAGAGTGTGTGTGTGTGTGTGTGCACACGTGTGTGTACATTTATACAGAGAGACATAGAAAGAGGCAGAGTGTGTGTGTGTGTGTGCACATGTGTGTGTGTGCACATGTGTGTGTACATTTATACAGAGAGACATAGAAAGAGGCAGAGAGAGTGTGTGTGTGTGCACACGTGTGTGTGTGCACACGTGTGTGTACATTTATACAGAGAGACATAGAAAGAGGCAGAGAGTGTGTGTGTGTGTGTGTGTGTGCACGCGCACATGTGTGTACATTTATACAGAGAGACATAGAAAGAGGCAGAGAGTGAAAGAGATAGACAGGCAGAGAGGATGAGAGAAATACAGAGAGACACATGGCAGGTTTGAGTCCGCATCTAGAGAAGAGATTTTATATGTAAATAATGTAAACACACAGTAGGGCGAGGATGGGAAGCGGATGCGGAGAGTGGGACACCCAGATCCTGGAGCAGACAGTGCGAGGGACCGAGTGGACCCGAACACCTGGAGACACAGGGAGGCCACCCCCGCAGAGTCGCTTACGATCAGCTCCATGTCTGTCCTCTCTGGAGCTGGGGTGCACGGGCTGGAGGTCAGAGGGCTTGGGAAGCCAGGTCCCTGACCAGGAGAGGGAGGCAGGCTTCGAGCCCAGGCGACAGCGGCCTATGCGATGGTCCCAGTCCGGCAGTAACTGGGGGCTCTGCACCCCTTGCTCGTGTGTGTTAAATGTGTGGGTGATGTTTGTCCGTTGGTTGGTCTGTTTTAGTTTTAAATGCATTTTTAAATGTTTTGTTGCAGGAAGGTACTGAAGGAAATTCCCATTGGAGCACTAAATCCCAACGAGACGGTGCAGGCCAACATGGAAGCCCAGCTCCTCTCCAGGCTCGACCACCCAGCCATCGTCAAGTTCCACACGAGCTTTGTGGAGCAAGACAGTTTCTGCATCGTCACCGAGTACTGTGAGGTGAGACTCTTCTCTCTCAATGAAAGCCGGTCGCATTGGAAAAGCAAGCTTTACGTGAAGAAATATCTACAAAGTTCAGTTATCAAAGCGTAGGTTGAACTGTAAAGACCTGGAATTATGTGTACTGCAAATCGAGAGTGGTCATCCCTAGAAAACTGATATGTCTCCTTCGTTCGCTCCCTCCTTCCCCTTCCTTCCCTCCTTCCCTCCTTCCTTCCTTCCTTCCTTCCTCTCTTCCTTCCTCTCTTCCTTCCTCTCTTTCTCTCTTCCTCTCTTTCTCTCTTTCTCTCTTTCTCTCTTTCTCTCTTTCTCTCTTTCTCTCTTTCTCTCTTTCTCTCTTTCTCTCTTTCTTTCTTTCTTTCTTTCTTTCTTTTTTGGAGGGACAGAGAGAGACAGAGAGATAGAAAGCAAGAAATCACCCCCTGGGGGATGGTGGTCATGCCTCAGTCCCTTCTCCATTCTCCTCTCAGGATTTTGGGATGCATGCACATGTGCCCAGCGTGAGTTTCAAGCCACCAGGTCTGGGACTCAAACCACGGTCCACCATGGGGGAGTTTAGCACCTTAACCACCACCCCACCTGCTGTCCCCGACAAATATCATTTCTTTCTTTCTTTCTTTCTTTCTTTTTTTTTTTTTTTTGGAGAGATTTTCACTGTAGGGCGCGTGCGCTCGCCAGACAGACAGAGAGAGACATAGAGACAGAAAGCGAGAAATCACCCCCCAGGGGGGATGGTCACGCTGCAATCCCTTCTCCTCCATTCTCCTCTCAGGAGCTTGGGCACACACGCACACGCGCCCGGCGTGAGTTTTAAGCCACCGGGTCTGGGACGCGAACCGCAGTCGACTACGTGGGAGTCCAGCGACATAGCCATTACGCTAACTGCTGGTTCCCTCATTTCTTTTTTTTAATTAAAAAATTGTTTATATTCAATCCCTGTGTATAATTGCAGCATACCAAATGAATTTTCCCATCAGCCAGAATTGTAAAAATCACAAAGACAAGATTCTAAAAATGGCAAGAGGAAAGCCAAGTCGCTTACAAAGGCTGTCCTGTTAGGCACCATCAGCCCCCTCAACCGAAACAAGGCAGGCAAGAAAAGAACGGGAAGACGTGTTCAAAACACTTGAAGGAAACGGTTTCGACCAAGAATGCTACACCTGGCAAGATTATCCTTCAAGTGAGAAGTAAAGAAAAACACTCCCAGATAAACAAAACCTGAAAGAATTTACAACGCCAGACCAGCCCTTCAAGAACTGAAGTACCTCGGGGAGCACGAGCAACCGCAGGGACAGCAAAGACAGAGCAGGAGTGCCGGAGAGAAGGAGTCCCACAGATCTCAGCAGAAGTAAACGGGACAGGACAGACAGGCGACAGGAAGCAGACCTCCGTTCTAGTGAATGGTTTCCCTTTGGCAAACTCAAGTGCACATAAACATAAATGCGAGAATATGTATATGCTCGTGTGTGTGCGTGTGTGTATACATGTGTGTTCCCCGGAGAGAGAAGGTAAATGAGAAATACCCCTCTGGGAGGTGGGGTACTTCCCACATGGGCTCGCTTCTCCTCCCCTTCTCCTCCCCTTCTGCTTTCGGGACTTGGGGCATTCACGCTCACATGCTACCCGGTCCAGGACTTGAACTAGGCAGCCAGCCATGTGGGATCCAGCTGCCTTAACCACCATGCACGGCCTGGCCTCAGTGAATGTATTTTAAGGAGAAATGTCTGCAGCGGTGTTGTTCATTTTTTCCTGGGGTGGTGCCGGAGCTCCCTGCACACGCAAATGCTCTCCCGAGGCCGGGACAGCGAGTCGTGGCTCCCAGGTTCTGGGATCCAGTTCTGCGGCTCATCTTCCTCTGCTCTCCCAGGGATGGCGGTGCGTCTGCCCGAGCCGTGGGCACGAAGCTGCCCGCAGAGGTGTGAGGGTGGCTGTCTCTCTGTCTCTGTCTCTCTCTCTCACACACAGAAGAAAGAAAGGAACTTAAAATCTGAATGAGTTTGAAATAGTCCAAATCTTGGCCATTGCCCTTCAGGCCGGCCCGGCAGCTCAGCCTTTCTTACTGGGTGTCTTCCCGCCCGGATCTTACCCTTGCTCCACGCTGAGGAAAGTGGGGGGAAGAAACAGGAAAGGCAGGTTACGGGGATGTTCGCTTTATCCGATGGACTGGTAAGACTGGTGAGACGGGGAGGCATGCAGAGTGGTGACACCGCACAGCTGCCCCGGCACCGGCACCGGCACCGACGGCTCGAATCTGAGAACCACAGATACTTGCACGTGTCGCCGCCCTGTGGTCCGCTGCTGGAACTGCGTCCTTTCCTTAGCCGTCCTGCTGCTCGGTCTGCCGCTGCGCCCTCTGCTGCTGCGCTGGGCACATTACACTTTCAGAGACCTGGGGTATTGTGCTGCAGATCGCAGTGCCCCTCTGTTGGGAAGGACCTGTTGTGCCAGTCCGTCCTGGCTACCGCAGCGCTCAAAGTGCAGCTCTTCTGACTGAAGGCCGGACGTTAAATCTCAGTTATAATTAAGGTGAACGTAAGTCACCACGTTTGGTTGTGGTTACTATTTTAGGCTAGTCTAGATGACATGCTTTATTCCTTTTCCTGTATTAACTAAAAACAGTCATCTCGGGCCAGCCAGTGGCATGGTTCAGGTGGCTGGGTCCCACATGGACCCGGTGATGGGCAGCATGCCAGTGTCTGTGCGCGCCCAGATCTCAGAAGGGGGAAGTGAAGAGGGGTGTGGCGTGACCATTCCTGTTGGGGGGCGTGCTTTCTCACTTTCTCCTGCAAGTGCACTCAGGGTAACACGGCGGACTCCCGTACGCCCTCCATCCAGGTCCCGTTGTCATGTTTGCCCATGTGCGTCATTTCTCTCGCTCCTGAACCGTGCGAAAGTCAGTAGCAGACACGGCACCCCCTCGCTTAATACTGCTGGGACCGTTTCCTGAGACCGAGGCCATGCTCTTACGTGGCCGCAGCGTGGTCATCCAGATCAGGGTAGCCTGACGCGGGCTAGGGCGTGGTCCTCTGTGGTGTCAGCCTCACCGGGAGCTCGTAGGACCAGGTCCTGGCCCCGGCCGTCCTGCGTCAGGAGACTGGGTGGGACCCAGCAGTCTCACCGGTAAGTCTGAGCACACTGAGGACCGAGAGCCCGCCTGACCACAGTCTGTCCTAGCCCCGCCGTCTGCCCAGGGCCAGCCTCAGCAAGGACACCTCTGTGAGGGCGCCTTCTTTGTAGGACCCAGCCCAGAACCATGGGCTCGATGGCGGAAGCTGGTTTCCATGGGCCGCACTGCTCCTCTGTGGCGACGCGCCCAGCTGGGAGCTTCCTGGAACCACCAGGCTGGCTTGTCAGACCCAACCCCTCGCGTGGGACCGCCCCTCTGCTCTGCTCTGCTCTGTCGCTGGGGCTGTCCATGGACCTCCCTCCCTCGTCACCACCTGCTTCCAGCTGCCTCCCACCTCGTTTCCGTTGGGCATGGACAGTCAAGGATCCTCTCACGTGTCGTGTATGGCCATGGCGTGTGGCCCTCCCTCGCACTGGGGTACGCCTCACGGCGCAGGCCCTCCAGCCCTGGACACGCCTGGAGGTGTCCCACGTGGCGAGGGCGAGGGCAAGGCGGCCAGGCGTCTGGGTTAGATTCGTACACACTTAGCGGGCGAGGGCAGCCGTTCTCAGGAGGGGTGGTCGTGATGAGCACGTGCCAGGGCCGAGCACGAGGTCGACCTGTCTGTCTCCCGCTCGTGACCAGAAGCTAGCGGTGGGATGGCGGTGCTCCAGCTCAGCTGCACTTCCGCCTCGCCTGGCGAGCTAGGGACCCTCAGCCTGAGGCCAGCTCCAGACAGTGCGATCCGGTGTACCCGGGTCATGGCTCGGGCCTCGGAGTTGTCACAGCTCCTGGGTGATGCTCGTTCCCAGTCAGGGCGAGAACGAAGCGAGGACGGCTGGTGTGGAGACTGACAAGTGGAGTCAGGAAGGGACAGTGTGTCGGCGTTCACGGGGCATCGCGTGGACACGAGGCTCGGCCTGGGAGCAGGGAGGTCTGGCCCGTTTCTGTGACCAGGCCCCCACCTTGTCGCATGACCATGGAAACCGCCCACCCCTTCTCTCTGCTCCTAGAGCAGCACCCGGGTCCGACTGACCTTTCCCGAAGGCCCTTCTGATGGGTTGAAAATGGAGAAGGAGGCAGAGTGGCTTTTCAGGCTCCCCCTGTTCTTAAAATCCTGGGACCTTTGTCTTGCGTGTGCCATTAGCGTTCCAGTCCTGTGATACCCAGGCTTCTGAGAGTCCTCCGCTTCGGTCTTTCAGACTGCTTGTAAGTACTTCTATTGACAGCTTTAAGAATGGATTAATTTTAAAGAATTTTATCAAATCCTTTTAGGATTCAACACTTTTTAATGGCAATTGAAGATGGGGTTTGAAACATCGTGTCTGAGTTGTCCTTCAAGGACTTGGTATTTCGAAGTCAGTGCGATGCTGGCTAACCGGGCGGGGCGGGGGGGACCCATCAGCTGGTACAGCTGGGCTGCAGATCTGTAGGCCCTGGGAGTTAGCGTCAGGCTTCTCTCGTAACTTCCAAGGGGTGATCTTAGTCAAGGACAGCATCATTATACTGGTCCCAGTGAAAGTTGTTTAGCAGTGAAAGTCTCCATTAAATATTTCTCAGAGACAAAGTAAGCGGACAGATGCACTTGCAAATTCTGATAAGAACTTAAACTGATGCATGGTATTTCATCAGAAGCGTTTGATTTTTACTTGAAAGTGAGCTTAAAGAAACAAATGTCTCTCATATTGCTGAGTTAAAACTAGACTGCCCCACAAGAATACATTTCTTTGATACATCAAATCATAATTTGATATGTCTTCACCTCTGAGAGACTTGTTTACCTTAATTAGATCTTGAGACACTAATCCGTGAGTGTATATTAAAGGCACAGTAAAGACAAAGCAGCTTTTCTTGGAGACGATCGTGCAGAATGGAGACGGTAGGGGGAAGACTTGAGGGGCACAAGGTCCCCCTCTGACTGGTTAAGTCTTGTCTTCGTCTGCCTGTGCGCGAACACGCTCCTTTTCCAGCCAGGAACGGGCATCTTCTCATGGTTCCGAGGGCGCGAGAGCATGGGCAGGCCTCCTTTCGAGACTGTGTTTTCAGGCGCACTGTTAACCCCCCGTGTCGAAGTGTGTGTTTGTTCGGCTCCAGGAATGGCGTTCTTAGTGTCAGTGCAGGGAACCGACGCGGTTTCTACCAGGACTAGGAGAGACGGCAAGCTGAGCAGCAGCTGATGGTGCGTGTCCCCCGAGAGTGCACGGTGCTCCCGGCAGGGCACCTTGCAGAGAGCAGCTGCGAGGAAACGGCGTCCGGGTGGGTCCCGTCGCGCACCCCTGGGACTCCAGCTACGCATGCTGAGGCAGCAGGATTTTGAGTCCACGTTCGGCCACGGCCACGGAGCAAGGCCCTGCCTCAAAAATCAAAACGAAACCCAGAACGCACTGTGGGAGCTGAGTGAGAACGTGTGGGATCTCACACTCCAACTAAGATGGCTGTCACATGACCGTGGAGGTGGGCAGCACGTGGCAGGCTCTCGTGTCTCCGCCGGATGTTAGCGTGACCGATCGTCACACGTTTGTGCAGCTCACAGAAACAGGGTGGCAGGGCAGCCTGGAGCCCGCGGAGCTCTGACTGTCTCTGGGATGAGGCGGGTTTGGGACAGTGGTCTTTTTGACATGGAGTCAAACCTCAATTTGCTGAATTTTCCATTCCAATAATCTTTAATCTCCTTGGCCCAGAAAATCCATCTGAAAACAGCCTGAGCTGGGCTGTGAGTGAATGCCTGACCCACCGTGTGGACGAAGAGAAAGTGCCAAGCAGGTATTTGTCCACTGCCCTGGAAGAAAATAAAACGCTCGCTACAGAGGAGTTACAGTGGGCCTCCTGCTGCCGGTGGGGAGTGACTCCTCTCGGCCTCTCTCACTGCCTCTGCACAAACGCCTTTCGGTATCCAGTGGCCCCAGGTCTGTTTGGGACAGTCTCCGAGCAGCTTCGCGTCTTCCTCGGCTGCTCCCCAGAGACGTGGCTGGTACCTCTCCCGCTCTCTGTGTCTGTCTCTCAGACGCAGGTGCATGCGACACGTCCGTTTCTTCAGGGAACACTTCTCAAATTGTCTCCAATTCTTCAGTGTTTGAAAGTAAGAGGGATCAAGTGTGTTTTAACATTGTGTATTTTCAGTTCTGTGGTAGTCGAAATTCATTGACTCAAGTGTCCGAAAGGGCATTAAGCAAGACCCTGCCGGGTACTCTGAGACGTCATTTGTGACCACGGCTCACTCAGGGTCCTAATAGTAAGTATTATTATGAGGTTGTCGAAAAGGTATGATGTGTTTTTCTATGAAAAAATGTGCCACGACTTCCCCGACAACCCAGTATCTTCCCTGTCACCTGCAGGTGACAGGACAGAGGTGGACTAAACCCTAATGATGTTCGGAATCGCGCATAGGTCAGCAGCCGCACGTAGGCGCCGCATTTCTGAGGGTTGCGCTACTTGTTAGAGAAAAGGGGGTTCAGTCATCTCTGGACACAACACGCCACGCTCCACAGTCGAGCCCGTGGCATCAGCACCGCGTGCTCAGCGTACGTGTTCAGTTCCCCCGAAACGTCGTCACTTTAAATTAAACTCTTGGGCTTGAATTTTATCGGCTTACAGCTTAACGTGTAGACATGTTGGATTCTACATGAAAGTCTTAATGTGAGAAAACTCATTTGTAGTTTGATGTGTGAATACATATTTAAGTAATATAATACAAATCATTTAGGTTGGAGTTGTAAGTAGTAACTCTTCTCCTTTATAAGGGTTTTCTTCTTGAGGGTTGGTCAGAGACGAACACAGCCAGGCGTCCACAGAGGCTGGGAGGCGGGCCTCCTGCAGGTGCCGCCCTGAGTACCACAGGCAGGGACTTTCCAGGGACCGAGGGCCATCGCAGGGATGTGGCCTCGAGCTGGCAGAGGCCGGTTCAGGTTTGCTCACGTCTCAGAGGCCGTGGCTGAGGCCTGTGGAGAAGAGGGCCCAGAGACCTGCTCAGCGTCTCCTCCTGATGGAGCAGCAGCTCGCCCGACTTTGTTGGGATGAGTCACGTTTTCACTGTTGTCCAGACAGCTGGGTTTCAAACTCTCAACTGAAAAAAAAATGCTCGTACTATTTTGTTTCAGGGCCGAGATTTGGACTGCAAAATTCAGGAATATAAAGAAGCTGGGAAAGTCTTCCCGGAAAATCAGATAATGGAGTGGTTTGCCCAGCTGCTGCTGGGGGTCGCCTACATGCATGAGAGGTACGTCCGCTTGCTGCCGAGCACGGGGGGCCTACGGGCAGGTGTGCGCTCAAAAGGTGGTTTGTTGTGGTTTTTTTTTTGCATAGAAGTAAAGGAAGCAAGCTGGAAAGATAAATCGCTGTAGTCCAACATCTGCAAGAAGTTCTTCCTTGAGAAAATCGTGACCGATCACATCCTGATGACTCTCTTAGCTTCCCCTTGTCTAGAGAGTTGGCCTTGAATCCAAGGCAGGGGCTCGTATTGGACACATCCCCGTTTCTGCTCACCTCCTGTGAGTGACGTCTGCTGCGAATCCTCTGATACCTCGGCAGGTTGTGAATCCATTGTAGCTTACAGCAGGGTCGAGCTCTAAATATCCCGGTGTGCCAGAGATGAAGCGTCACTGTGGCGTGTGGGCGTGCACCGGTTCCCACTCTACCACGAGCTGACTAATCGAGGTGGGAGACGACCTTCGACATCACAGAAATAATTCAGACCAAAGTCAGTTTCGACAGGGAATACCTGTAAGAACGGCCAAGAGTGTCTTAAGGGTTTAAATTGTTATAATTTGTGTTTACAATCTCTGCCTCAAGTATATTTTAAAACTTCTTACAATGTTTGTATAGGTCAAAACTAAGAAGCTTCAGATACTGAGTATTTTATAGATCTACAAACTTACACGAATGCACTTGAGAATGCCCGTAGGTGAGGAAAGCGGACCCTCGGAGGTGCCTGTCGTAGTTCTCACGCTGGGACAGCTCACAGCGGCGTAGCACACAACAGTGCCTGCCCGAGCGGCAGTGGTGATGGGTGGGGACGCCACGCTGTCCGTCCGTGGGTGGCACATGGCCAGGATGTGGCACCTGTGGAATTGGGTCACCCCGTAGCGTGCCATGTGACTTCCAAAACACGCCTGCTGATGCCGATAGCTGCTGTTTATTGACAGCTTAGGACAGTCTTTCCTATGAAGTCCGACCACCCAAAGAGACGACAGAAGAATGTCAGCGACCTTTTAACAGGCTACCTGAAGTGACTCGGGACCTGCAGTTGCCTGGCTCTCGTCTCGTTTCCTGTACCTTTTCTGGATCTCCTTATACTGAAGGAAACAGCCCACAGAAAGGCGCCACTGTGGTGCTTGCATCTAGAACGTGAATCTGAAGTCGGACTGATTCAAGAATCCAAATATTTATTTTGTCCCTTTGAGACGGCTAGTAGCTAAATAAATTTAACCCTTCAAGGGGAGGATTTTGATTTTTCTAACCCTTTAATATTAAAAAAAATTGTGGGTCTGAAATACTATCCTTCGTGATTCAGAAAACATATATTGCTGCTTCATTTATTATATTACTATAGCCAGTGCTTGTAAACTGGTGCCCTATAGACAGAGATCTCAGACTTAGACTTTAGCTCACTGAATTATTAAATAGTGACGAACAGGGTCCGCTGCTGGGACTTCAGTTAAGGCAGTGAGGTCTCGCATGGTCTGCTGCACAGGCAGCGGAAAAACACGCCAGGTGCATGTGTGTGCATGCCCAAAACCCGCAAGGGAGGGCGAGATGGAGAAGGGATCGTGGCGTGGTCACTCAGGGAGGGTGCTTTCTTGCTTTCTCTCTCCCTCTCTCTGTGGCAAGCACATGCATATTGTGGCAAATTAAAAATAAAAAGTGATGAATTGAAAGTGAGTTCTTACCCCAGGAACCGTTAGTGAGCCAGCAGAAGTAAAACGCACCGCGCGACTCAGCTGTACAGCGTGGTGGGCGTCAGCACTAGTTGCCTTCTTCCCCTTGGTTAGAGAGGGAGAGGTGGAGGGACAGGAAGGGGACAGGACAGACGTTTTAGCAACTCTCACCGCGCTGCAGCCCTCTCGTCCGTGCCCGGTTAGCTCGGCAACAGGGGCGTGCAGCTGTGTTTAGCATGCTCTGAGAGCTCCCTTGGAAATGCTGCGCTCCTGCCGAAGGAAGTCCTGCCGTCCTCACTAACCCCATGTCGACCTCTTTCACGTGTTAGCAAGGACATAAATTAGTGCGGCCGTTAAGGAGAACAGCACGGAGGCCTCAGAAACTGAAATCGAGCTCCATGGAATTGGCAGCCCTGCTCCTAGTTGTAGGTGCAGAGGAGAGGGGGTGAGTGTGCTGAGGAGGGAGCCCGTTCCAGCGTTCAGCAGCCCTGCTCCTAGTTGTAGGTGCAGAGGAGAGGGGGTGAGTGTGCTGAGGAGGGAGCCCGTTCCAGCGTTCAGCAGCCCTGCTCCTAGTTGTATGTGCAGAGGAGAGGGGCTGAGTGTGCTTCTCGCCCGCGTGCCCAGCCCGCGGAGCAGCTCCGACGGGGACAGGCTTTCCTCCTGGCAGTCATCAGCAGCACCTGGTGGCTCTGAGAGATGTGACCGCTGTCCCGTCCGCTCGCACACGGGCCACTCCAGCATCAGGGGCGGGGTGACTGTCCCTTCCCCGGGGAGCGCACCACCAGGCATGGAAGGGGCGGCTGGGCCTGGACCACGTCTGCGGCGATCTCGCTTTAACTTAACCCTTTCAAACTGCAGCCAGATCAGCCTTTGCAAAGCAGTGTCCCAGCCCTCCCCTCAGGCAGGTGTCCGAAAATACACACAGCTGTGTCCTGACAAGTACGAGGGTGCCCACGGTGACTGTCGCAGGTGCCCGCCACACGCTTCTGTGCGTGATGGTGAGCTGCCGGCCGTGAGCGAGCAGGGCCTGCCTGGGTTAAACGTCTCTGGGTGAGATCAGCTCTCAGTCCGGAGCTCCAAGCTCCCTGGCCGACTGCCCTCCTGGGGGCGGCTGGGCATCATCTACTGCCTAGAGGCACAGGAGGACGGAGGACGATGAGACCACGGTGCCCCTCCCTGCCTTGCCTGCCCCACCCTCGGACTGCCCTCAGCATGTGGCCACGCTGGTCCTCAGGCCTCTGGACTGGGACTGCATTCTGGCTTTCCAGGGCCTCCAGTTGCAGAGGGAAGACCACGGACTTCGCTCCCTCATTGTGAGCCAGGTCTTCACCGTGAAGCGCCCCGGGTTCCCTTTCTTCGGAGAGCCCGACTGACTCTGCGGCTAGAGGAGGTGGAGACGACCCTGGACAATGGCAAAGGGCCAAGTTGCAGAAGGAATGAAGACTTTGCTGACTCTTGAAGCTTTGCCACTGCTATTTTAATGTGGTTGATTTATACACTCGGACTATCCTGAATCCGTACACACGGCATAGACACGTACATAGTGATGTTAAAAACTGAGAGCGGGCACAGCTCCCCGGCAGCTGTCTGGAGAGCTGACGTGGGAGCTCAGCCAGCCTCGGTGTCATAGGGGAAGGGCAGCACCACCGCTGCGGGCCCTCTGCCCGGGGCCAGGCCTTGCTGACGTGGGGCCCTCCCAGTGGGCAGCAGGGCTGAAGCACTTCCCCGCCGGGCATGCTGACCACCCCTCACATTTCCCGGCCAGCATGTAGCTGGCGTGAGTTCAAGCCGCGGGGCCCAGGACTCGAACCGCGGTTGACCGTGTGGGGTCCAGCGACATCCCCAGTGTGCTGCCTGCTGGTCCCTGGACAGGGCTTGGCCGTGTGGACTCCAGCTCCCTCTGCCTTTGTGGCCGCGCTGCTCGGGCGCCTGGACTCTGGGTCACCCTTCACTCACGGGACCCGGGCCTTACGTGCCCATGCCAGCCCCCGCACTCTGTGTCGGCAAAGGTCTTGGTTTCTGGGACCAGCACGGCCCTAGGGCCTCTGACCAGTCGGACCCTACCCCCACTCTGGTTTCTTTTGTATAATCAAGGAAAGTTTTGCCTCACTCTCTTGTGAACTCATTGCCACAGGGCGGGCGCCACCACGCCCTCTTGCGAACTCACTGTACCTGCGTAAAATATTTGTATACTTTTTGTATACTTTATTCAGCATTTCTGGGTTTGTGTCAGGCAAAGATTTTCAAGTTGTCTACTTTAACACTCCAGAAATGAAAGTTTTAACTGGTACAGTTTCCACTGCCGGTTGATAGTAACACGCAGTGAGTGTTCCCTGTGATTAAATATCGTTGTCGACATTGTTGTGTGTGGAAATATAAAACCTGAGTGTTTGAGCAGCAGCCGTGATGTGCGGTGGCCGGTGTGTTGGCTCGGGTGCTCCCTGTCAACGGAGCGAGCGCTACGTAGACCGCGCTGCAGACTCGGTTGTCGGGCCACCCACGGAGGGGATGGCACGTCACTTTCTCCCAGCGGCACGCTCCCCTCCCTTTAAGACCTTTCTCTCGAAACTCCTGTGTCCTCGGGGGAGCGAGGAGGCGCTGCGGCTGGGGAGCACTGGGCGGCCCGGCGCTGAGCCGTGTGGCGTGGGGTCACGTCGGTAAGTCACATGCGTTACTCACGTCTGGATTACACACGTCACACTGCACACGAAGACATCTGTCCCTCTTTGCCTTTTGCAGGAGGATACTTCATCGAGACTTAAAATCAAAGAATATATTTCTGAAAAATAACCTGCTTAAAATTGGTAAGTTTTAAAAACACGTGTCCCCAACAGGAGAGTGTATTCCGGATGTTACCATCCTGTCGAACCGAAGTATGGGGCGTGGCGGCGTTAGCGTGCTCACTGGTTTACTCCGACGCCTCCCGTTTTTGTTCTTGCCTAGTGGGGCCCATGTGGAACTCAGTGATGTGTCCGTCTGAGCTGGTGTGATAGGAGGTGGGAGCCATTTGCTATGTACTCGGTCGATTTAGCAGATGGAGTTCCTGTCCTGCGTCATGCCAGGCTGTGCGAGTGGTTCGGCTTGCTTTCTTGGTTTGATTAGTTACCGAGGGCGTCTCTCATTTTATCACAAGCAATAAGCAATTACCATGGATGATTAAAATGTCTGCATCGTGACTTTATTAACACGGAGCCCTTCACAGTCGCGCTGCACTCGCGGCAGTGCCCAGCTTGTCTGCTTACCTGCAGGATGCTCTCGGAGGAGCCTTAAATTACCTGCAGGATGCTCTCGGAGGAGCCATAAAAGCATTCAGCTGATCAGGAAGGAGTATTGCAGTGGGCAGATGCAAATATTTACGTCCTGTTCTTGAACAGTCTCAAGTCTTTTCTTCAAAATGTGTTCTTTATTTTTTAAAATTTGTTCTTTATTGTAACTTAAGAAACAGCCTCTTCCCCCTCAGATAAACCTGAATGTCATCATATTCAGCTTTTCCAGAATCATTCTGTTTGCTTTTATTCAGACTCAAAATAGCTTTTTATGCCAAGTTGTCTAGTTCTCTGTCATTTCAGAAATTAGGAATTTTAGCTTACAAAATTCAGTGTCCTCACCCAGCGGCCTCTTTATTGTATACATCTTAAATTGTGCGGTTATTTATTAGCATGCACAGTTTAAAATGTATCACTTTATTGCCATGAAGGTAGCACGAACCATCGCGTAATCGAACGGTCGAACGGGACGCTGTTGTTCATTTCCAGTGCTGATGTGTGGTTACAAAATACTCACTAAAATGAATGACTACCTCCAGGGGATTTTGGAGTTTCGCGACTCCTGATGGGACCCTGTGACCTGGCCACCACGCTCACCGGCACGCCCCACTACCTGAGTCCCGAGGCCCTGAAGCACCAAGGCTACGACACCAAGTCAGACATCTGGTGAGTGGCCGCGGGCAGCCCCGGGGACGCCTTCATCTGAGAGATGGAGCGAGGGAGTGCATGTGGGAGGAGGAGGGACATTCTCGACAGGGCCACCCTTGAGATCCACCGCCCCAGCTCCGCATTGCCAGTGTCGCAGGCTCACACAGGTCCGGCCGTTCGGGTCGTTCGGGGCCCTGACGCCGGCCTCCGTGGCCCGGCCTCCGTGGCCCGGCCTTGTTTGCTCTGTGCCCTGCCTGAGCGCAGGACGCTTGTGTTTAAGTCATCTCTTCCTACATCCACTCGCTGTATCCCTGAGACAGGAGTCATCGAAGGCCAGAGTACAAGACCTGTTTTAAATTTGGCATGTGATCTATTTCATTAAACTTATTTAGAAAATGTTCTGTTGTTAGACTAGCTGGTTCTTTTGCAGCTTCAGTTTCTGCACCGGTAGGGGAAGTTCTTAACGCGCCGTAAGCAGTAATTTGGATGCGCTTTCGCTAACCTGCCGGTATTAAGTAAAGCATGTGACCGAAGAACTTTGCTGAAGGGCCAGCGTCCATCCCTGCGGGGAGGACAGCTTTCCCAGCAGTTTTCCTCCTTAGCACTGTAAGAATTTCGCTAGAGAAACTGGTCGTAAGGGTTTTCAGTGACAGGTGCAGATGCACCTGCAATTTCTCAGTAGGATTTATTTATTTATTTATTTTTTGAGCCCTTGTATTAAAGGGATTTCTCCTTTCCCCATCTGGAACCGGACTAAATCTCACTGCAGAAGTTGTGGAACTTGCTCAGTGTGTCCTGTCGTCAGCAGTCCATCCCACTGGGGGGGGGGGGCTCTTTTCCTGAAGAGCCGTGTAATTTTCAGCTTGCTAAAGGTTGAAAGGGCAGTCTAGCTGAGAGCCCGTTCAGTAAGTCATTATTGTATGCAGTCCACGTAAGCACTCCTGAGCTTCCCGAGAGGAGGGTGTGGAAGGTGTGCTGCTTCATTCTTCCCAAGAAGGGAAAGTGGGAAGGGAAGGTGAACCACAGCAGGACTCGGCCGGGGTCGTCATCGGGATCTCTGCTCCTCCTGTCCCGGCGCCCCCGGAGGAGCACCGTGCAGCTCAGCTCCAGCTCCGCCGTTCCCTGTAGAGCCTGTCCTTCAGGCCAGTCTTGCTCTGACTCGTTCCCGAGTTCTTCACCGTGGTGCTTTTTATTCTTCTTCTTCCGTCTTTCATTTTTAGCTTAACTCACCCCTAGCGGCTCTCTCAAATCGACTCTCCGCCTGTCTCCATCCTCCCTCCTGACGCCTTACCTCCCTAACCCTATGAGAAGGACAGAGAAAACCGCCAGCGACAGAACCACGAATAGCTCCGAGGAATGGGTTCCTTTCACTCTGCTCGATGGAGCATCTCTCTGCTCTTGGCCCAGGGCCGGGCCGTCATCCTCGAGTGTGAAGGGGACAGTGATAGGACTCTGGCTCCCAGGGGGAATCGTGCTCCTGCTGAGCCCCGTTGCCCAGGCTGAGAACCTCAGGGCTGGGCTCTGCACTGCATTTCAGTTACACGCGGCTTTCTCGCACGCCTGGCCTCGTTCCCATGGGGCCAGCCTGGGGTGTGACAGGTAAGGTGGCCGGCTGTGCAGCTCGAATCCCGGACCCAGTGGCTTGAAAAATATGCCGGGCATGAGTGCATGTATGGCCGAAATCTTGAAAAGAAGGAGAAACGGAGAAGGGATTGCAGAGCAGCCCTTCCCACTGGGGTGCTTTCTCACCCTCCCTTTCTGTCTTTCTCCAGTGAGTGTATCTGCCCTCTGACAAAATTTAAAAATGTATATTATTACGGACATTTAAACATAGATTTAAACATGCAGCTCCTTCATCATTTAGAGTCACAGTATCAGGAAGACGTTCCGTCGTGTCATTGAATCAAGGGTACGTCCGTTTACGAAGCCGTCGTCTAAGTTTTGGGGACGGCCTGTGGCAGTAACGTGGCTGCTTTCAACAGGCATCTGTATTTGCTTGTCATAGTGAACGGATACCTCCCAGAGAAGAAGTAACAGAACTCGGAGGACAGGATGAGCAGAGGGTCTTGGTATTAGTTGTGCCGGTGTTAAGAGCAGTTGCTCCTAGTATCCCATGGGGAGGTAAAGGAATCTCAACCATTGCTATCATATTTTAGTATTACTAAACTAAGGCAAAACTTAAATATACTGAACTGGGGCCAGCAGATGGCACGATGGTTAAGGTGCTGGGCTCCCGCATGGCAACCACAGTTCAAATCCCAGATGTGGCGGCCTGAAACTCACACCAGGTGTGTGTGCGTACATGCCCAAAATCCTGAGAGGAGAATGAAGGAGAAGGGACTGCAGCATGGCCACCCTCCCTGGGGAGGGTGATTTCTCGTTTTCCCTGTTTCTGTCTCTCCCTGACTTTCTCCAGTGAGCACACATGTCCCATGACAAAACTCTAAAAAATAAAATAAAGACCCAAGCCTCCCAAATACAGAAATGTAGGAGGATTTTAATGTCTTTCCAAGCACTAGGTCAGCTCTTCTTACAGAGACGATGAACTGTCCCGCCAAGCACTCGCTCAGGACTCATCCTCACCCTGACTCCTGGCTGCACACTTCCTGTGACTTGGTGTGTGACAGGGTTATCGGGTAGTGAGAACTCTATTGTCACGCGTAAAGTGGAGGAAGTACCGGATAGCCGTTAATTGCAGGGGCAGGTACACAGTGGCTAGTAATCTCTGGGAGACACGCTGAGAGGGTTCGATTGAACGCGGTTGGCAGCTCGTGTCTGGGTCTCCAGATGCGGCATCTGTTTGTTGTGGACCACTTCCTTAGAGCTGGAGACGCTCATGCGTAACTGACAAGTGTTTGCTTTAGCCATAACAGCTGTGCGTGTCCTAGTTGTGATTAAGAGCGCCTCGGTCCGATCCTGATTTTATTCTCATCATTAGCGTTTGCCCATGTGTGAACTGATCCTCCTGCAACCCTCCAAACCTTTCTACACCCACTTATTCACAGCATTCAAGTAAGGAATCCCTCTCCTAAAAGTGGATTCGGTTCCCAACCCAGGACAGGCAGGTCACGGAGGGCAGTGCTTCGGACACGGCCGCTTTGTACAGGCAGGGGTGAGCACTTCTTTGTCCACACAGGAAATGTGAGCCGGGCCCTGAGCCGGCCCCTGGAATGGGGACAATCACACATTTATTCCTAATCTTTCAAGAAATTACCCGAGAGGAAAATCTTCCCAGTTACATAATTTATAATGCCCACAGATACAAATAATCCATTATTTAGAAGTTTAGTTATTTCTTAATACTGAATTCAGGCAAGAACTGCCCTTAGTTTTCTTTACAATGTAAAGTTACTGAAATGATTTTTCCTGCTGGTTCGAGGTTACTGATTTGCATTGGTTAATCCAAATCGGGGTTGGATTGATCTAGAATTTTAATATTCTGTTTCATACTCCCCAAGGGAGAATAATACATTTTAATGCAAGCTGCAACTAGCTGCTTTCTCATCGTACTTAAAAATGGATTATATTCAGAAAACTAATAAAGAATGCCAGTTTCCTTTTCAAAATGCTTGGATACACGTTAGAGGGAAGATTAGGCTGATTTAAGTTTTATTAAACATATGTAACACTAACAAAACTCTCAGACAGATGATACTTAGCTACGTTTTATTTTTCCTTTTAGAAGATAATTTTAAAATTCTTTACAGGAGCAGCAGTTAGCATAATGGCTATGTCGCTGGACTCCCATGTAGCCGACCATAGTTCAAGTCCCAGACCCGGTGGCTTAAACTCACGCCGGGCGTGTGTGCGTGCGTGCCCAAGATCCCGAGAGGAGAATGGAGGCGAAGGGATTGCGGCGTGGCCATCCCCCCTGGGGGGTGATTTCTCGCTTTCTGTCTCTCTGTCTC